GTATGGCGGAAGACGAGGTTCGATGAGGTCATGCTAGATGATGGTTAGATCGAGCTGCTACGGAATAGGAGAATTGAAAATGAGATCTTGCACAGCTTGTTATAGCTATTTGTGAGCTCACTCAAAACTGGTGAGTTGAGTCACAGGAGTGCTATCTTGATTGGTAAACTTGGACTCGATTGCGTCATTTTCATCGACGCTATCTGGCAGAGTTTTTGAACAACACCAGTACCTAAACATTTTGTTCGTAAACGGAACTATTGTTGCTTTCGACATTTTAAGCTAAAGAAAACACAAAGTGGATTTAGAGCACCTATGAACAAGAATTATTGGATGACAGCGCTTTTTTTAACATAAGCAGTGAACGTTAGCTTGCTGGATATAGGCTATTTGAATGGAGTTTTCCGGTTAGGATTTCACTTAACTTACAGGATTAACTTGGGTAGAATTAGTAAACGTTGGCCACATCATTTACTATCAAATATGTGTACATTCCAGAAGCTAACCCATGCGGCCAGCAGCATACGACTCATTCAAAGGTTGTAATTGAGGATTTTTTTTTAGTTTTCCCGAATTAGCTTAATGGACCAAGTAAACTAAAAGTCATATATATACATATATGTAGATAGATAGATATATTTAGTGTAAATGGGTACGTTCGGCGCATTATACCGTAGACAATCTACTCCTGCAACAGATGTCCTGTTTTTTTTCCTGCATAATTGCAAGCACTTGTTTGATTCCATTCGCTTTTAGCATGCCTTTAGCTTGAAGTCAATTAGCGATTCACAATATTACACCCCGCTTCCAGACTATAACAGAATAAAACGGACTCTGCATGTGGAAATATTAGGGCAGCTGTACCTAGGGCCTGTAAAAGCATCTCTCCGATTCAACCTTCGTTGGAAAATCTCTTATGAATTCACATTGCGATGCAATCAAATATTTGGTTAGCTATTATTCTAACGTAGAAATGGATCTGGTTGCTGGCATTATCTAAATAGCGTCCATACCCCACCATCTTGTTTCCCCATTCCAACACGTCAATCCCAGTTTCACCAACTTACTCCGAACCGTCTACTCGCTATTGAGTAAAACCACCGTAGATAATATCCACCCCATATTATGGGTGATCCGATTTTCATTAAAAGTTAAAAGAAAATCCAATATGCTGTCACAAGGAATTATATATTGGAAAGCAATTTGACGGACTTGATGTGCTGAATACAATGCGCACTATATATATATATTCAAAAGACTTGCTCATCGTTGGTTTTGAAACAATATTAGTAATAGTATAAAAGCAACTTGGTGTTGTTGCTTCGAGTGCAGGTTCAGTACTTCTTCTGCAGTAAATAAGGCTGATACTTCTCGCCTTTGGGCGATTCTCTGGAAAAATGTACTTACACATTATTATTATTTCTTTATATTTATTTTTTTATTGCTCAAGATGAATTCACTACTATATAGTTTCTATATGTTGAGGAATATATTAGTCAAAAATAAAATAATTCAGTGATATAATCTAATTGACTAAATAATTAACAGGTGTTCTTTCTCGAGGTTGCCAGCAGAAGCAATGAAGGTGTTGGTGTGTGTGGTGATCGGAGACAGGAGCGTCTTCGTTATGGGAATTGATGAGCGCAAGAAAGTCGGAAACTTGAAGGATATGATCAAGGAGAAGAACAGCTATTCGCTACCTGTAAGGATCTCACCCTCTACCTTGCGAAGAAGGGCAGCAACAGGTTCAAGACGGACGACCCTGATGTGCTGCAGTTCAAAGAAGGCGTGGTTACTACGGCGATCAGTGATATGATGAAGAACCAAATGGATCCAAGTTATCGTGTTCGCAATACGGACGCGTACGCCCCTGATGAAGACGCTGCTGAAGATGGTGAAATCCATGTTCTGGTAAAAGTGCCAGAAGTTGCGGTTGGAACGACAGCATTGTGGCTGGTTCGTGGATCGATTGCGAATGCTCTCAGCACAAAGGAGTTCGTTGCATGCTCTACCGCCTCGCTGGAACATACCGTGGATTCTACGGTCTGCTCGTTGCACTGGTGACAAGAACATCGCGCTCTGGTATGATGAAGACAAGACCTTGTGCATCCACATTAAGTTCGAGGCAAGTAAGTATATCTCGTTGATGGGTTTGCAGTTAGGTTGTGTTGACTCGAGTGTTGCTGTTGTAGACGACAATGCTTTGCGATTCGAAATGCTCTTCGCGAAGAAAGATTGACAATTAATTTACCGCTCAATGGCCAAGTAGTTATGACAAGGGTTGATCGAGTTCCAGGGCTGTCGAATCTGTTACACCGCATTTTCTACGAGTACGAGTCACCACAATATACAATGTCATCAGTTTCAGCGAGCTCCTCAATCATCGACACAATGACTGACGGATTCAAGTACCAACGCATCGAAAGTGCAGTGGTTTAGATCAGTCGGAAAGGCCCAGAGCTGCCGTTTGATGTCCTACGAGCACCGCAAGAAACGTGATCCCTACAACAAATACGATGGTGACAAGAGTAATCGACTTGCACTGTTCCCTGAGACGCACAGCTGTGCTGAGCTGTGCGGTTCCTGTTTTATCATTTGCGTTGAATCGGTTTCACATCATCCCGTGATCAACAACAGGTATGAGGTAAGTGTCTTCACGTGTACACTGGCAGTTTAGACTACTCTGAATTATGTGCGACTTTTAGGTGAAGCTGATCGTTTGCGCTTTGGATGCTGAATACGATCGTCTGATCCTAATGCGTTTGATAGAAGGTGCGATTGTTTCAACTGACCTCCTAGAAATGAGAACATCCGTGCATGTGGAGAACCCGAATGTATTCCGCACGTGTATGGAGTGGAAGTACAAAGAGATCCAGAAGTCGTGGCAGGACTACTACAGCATGACTTCTGCTGTGGATTAGAGTTCTCATGTCAACATCTGCATCAAGTTCCGAGGTTCCAGAACTGCGTTCCGAACGGATTCCAAAACGATGTCGTACTTACTACAGTAGAGCTGTTGTGGTGCTTTTCTAGAGTGAATTGCAATTCTTTTTAGCGAATTGTGGATTCCAAATTTCCGGAACACATTTTAGTAACTATTATAGATGGGCTGTGGTTAAGTTGCCACACTCGGTGTGCTAGAAAGGGGCTATCCTACTTTTTGCTGCGCACAAACGCTCGGACTTGCCCCATCGAGCACGTTTGATTAATGCTAATACGCCGTTACAATATCATCATTCATGTGAAAAAATCTTCCGCATCTTTTTAGAGATTCTCCATTTATTTTCAAAGGGGAGAATACTAGCGTGCTGAAGGTGGCATCTTGAACTCAAACCCGGTAGTCAGGGATATTAGTACCTGATGCTTCTGTTTTCCTTCTAATCACAAGTACTATTTTTTCGATTGAGAATTTTGCAAGAAAACCACTACCGGTATTCTACATACAGTCAGTATTTGGAAAAAAATGGCAATTATTGCGGTTTCGATTTCTGTGGGGATCTCTAGAATATGCGGATGATCAGTGCAGTTATGGTTATAAGGTTTGAGCCAGGGTACTGTAGCTCGAAAAACAAGTTATCTAACAATTATTCCAGTTATCACTTCTGACGTACTGGTACCTATACCAGTATACTGGGATGTGCATCCCACCGAAATAATAGTGCTGGCACTAAAGCCTCCTATCCTAGAATAACCCCAACTAATATAGGGGCTACACGAAGGTGGAATAATTATTCCAATATTACAACGAGAGACGGATGTGACGATCCAAACGTTGTGTTTGGAGCGAACAAGGACAACAATATATATATTAAAAGACAGATCACTAAGCGTACAAGGCTCCTACCCGCTCGTTCTGGTAGAAACAACGCCATACAGCACACACTGGTGGTGTGAACTTTCATCTAGTCACCTCTGTTTCTCTTAAGACCAGAAAGTTTTTTCCGTGCTACGTATTTGATGTAGCTGTCGTACATTTCGTAGACAAACTTGTACTTCTTTCTTACGGCGGGATCGGTTGTGAGGACCTTGGTTAACGCCTTCGGTCTCAATCTTTTCTCACGCCAATGCTCGAAAACTTTCGTCTTCTGGGCGATGTTCCCGTTAAGGGCCTCATCAAGTGCGCTCTTATCCAACCAGCCAAAAAACGTCTTCCCATCCAGGAATTTGTCGGCCATTTTGGGGTCGAGAATTTTGTCGAGCTTTTCGACTTCGAATAAGTCGTCGATCTTCTTAGCGGTATCGAGGACGATGGGGCCCGAGTTAAGCCGTTCCTCGTTGTCCGTAGTTTCCGAATCGATGTGTCGACGTAAAAAGCGCTGACTCGTGGTGGTGGCCCCATCGACTGCTGTCAACTGGTTCAGGCTAGTTTCTGCCGCTGCCGGTAAAGCATTGCTGTGGACCAGAAGTGCGGCTGCAGTTGGAAGCAGGGTGTAGTAAAACCGCATTCTTGATCAAATGGACGTCTGCCACAGTCGCGCTGTGTCTTTGTTGGAGCGAGGCGGATTCCGTAATGAGTAAGCTTTACTCGAGACACGAACATAATTGTTAGCGGCAGCTCTTTACAGCACATGTATACGTACTGTACATGTACGCAATCGAATCCTTTGATTGAACAGCAACCGTCGATCCGTATGTTATCTTGTGATGAGACAAAGGGGAACTAGGATAATAAGTTTTTTTGCGGTTCATATACGGGGTTAGATCAGGGAGGGATGACCCACCGTGGGCAAACGTTGCAATACTCTCGCGTTGGCACTCGTCTGCGGACTCGGCCAGGCGCAGTGGCTGAAAAAAAAAATCGGGTTGCAGCGCTCGCTACGCTCGCTCGCTTCGACAACCCCGTTTAATCGGCGGACGTTTGCAGAGCGTGAATGGACTGAGTGAGGCTAGCGCTCGCATCCGCTCGTCCTCGAACTTCTGTTGCGAGCTAAGCTGGGGTGTGTCCGTGTCCTCTACCGTCACCAACAAGACATACGCGTACAAAACGCAATAGTCGGGAAGAAATGATATGTTTGAGCTCGCACAGGATCGTATGCTTCGACACCGGACACTTCGGCATCATTATTAGCACCGGTGGTGGATCTAATCTGGCAGTGCTGAATGTACCATGACGGCCGGCCTCATCCTGGGCTCCAACTAGATGAACACATGCGCGACCGCCACGAAGCATACGCAGGGGCTGTGAATAGTGGAGTTTTAGGTGATTGCTACAAGCTAGCCGCTGTAGGTACCGTCCATTTCATCCTAGGTATCTTTTATTATGTGAGCAAGTTTCTACTGATCTATTAAACATTTGAGGTGCAGTCCTTACGTGTACCCCCCGTGCCAATTCATGTTTGAATTAAGCACTCGCCGGACTCTTAAAAGGGGTATTTCGTTCTTTTCTACACAAAATACCCCATCGGCCCATGCCTGGGCATGTGGCTGCTCGAACAGAACTCACCATTGATTACGTACATAGTGACAACAACTCTTCCAAGTTTATGGTACGTTACTCGCAATACGTGTGACGTATTGTCCACGATATCGTAGTCGTAAGGGCTTTCCTGTCCATTCAAAATCATCCACTAGAATCATTTTTTTCTTATATCAAAAATGGAGCGCGAATAATTGTAGAAAATTGTCAGTGCTCTAATTTATTTCGGAGCTACATCAGTAATTTACAAACACCAAGAAAATGTAACCTTTTAATTTTTACGAAGTCGCAAAGTAGTCCGAAGAAGTGATGTGTCGTGCATTAAATGTTACTTCGCCTCTCCAGCGAAAATACCCCAATATAGGGCTACACGAAGGCTAGAATACTTTCTTGCAAACCTATGTTGTGCTCACCCGCAAGAGTGACGCCGGTATTTATTAACGCATCCCTGCGACTGCTTCGAAGCGAGCGTCTGCACACACATTCGACGAGCCGTCACCGTGGCTTTTCTTTTCAATACTAGAACAAAATAGAAAGTTAACATGGGTATTCCTTTACGATCAGGCGAAAAATCGACACTTTTCGGAGGTCGACAACGATTTGCAACTCTCATTATGATGCATATGCTTAAGCAGTTCTACATGCACATAGATGGATATATTCTAAGAATAGTGGTGGTATCTAGGGCCACGAAGCACTTGTAGTTTTCGAGTTAGGGCCAGTAAAAATAACGCTTTTCCGTACTTAATAGAGGTAAATTCGTACTTATACGCGTGAAATTGCTTCTTTCTGTTCCATTCTTGGCTATTGGCCAATAGAAATGGGCGAAATGCAACAGTCTGACGACATTGTGCTCACCTCCGAAATCCCGCCTGGTTGCGCAGGTTAAAAGGCGACCTTAATGAAGCCACGTTGATGCCTTTATCAGATGTTAATAGCTTTACGAGGCGAGATTTTCAATAGCGAACTTAAGTTTCTGAAATAACCAGAGGTTTTGAAACAACAATTGTCTGGAAAAAGGTCATTTCCCTTTGGGTCAAAAATATATTCCAGTGGAACAATCGATATTGCAGTGGAACTAAGTATTGGAGCATCCATCGGTAATTTATCCATCATTTATTTAGATTTCATTCAGATTGTCATTGTTTCATAGGTCGCGCTGTTCCAAAAACTGTTATTGAAGCTTTCGACAATGTCAAATTCTGAAGTATTTGAATTTTGCTAGTGGTTAACTCAAATACTTCAGAATTTGACATTGTCGAAAACTTCAATCCCCCTATAATTTTAATTAAAGTATTTTATGAAAAATGAATAAATAAACATGAAATATTGTCATTTTTAAACATGTGTTTTTTTAGAGAAAAAATTAAAACAAAAAGAGCTTTTCAATAGAAAGCATTATTGCTGCTTTGTTGGAGAAAAGTGATTTGCTTTACCGGTAGAAGTGAACTCGTATAAGTAGACACAATCTACTTGTTAAGTACCCACAAAACGATTCGGACTTGTTTAAGTATGTATAGTTTAATAAAAATTAAACCAGACACGTCAACCATGCTGATGACGCCGGACCTGCACGCCAAATGCGCGCATCTGCACGCGGAGCTGTCTCGACACTCGTTGGCATGGCCGTTTCTCGAGCCAGTGGACCCCGTGGCGCTCAACATCCCCACGTACTTTGACGTGATCTCTCAGCCCATGGACCTTGGCACCATGGGCGCCAAGCTCAATGCAGGCGAGTACAGCGACCCGACCGAATACCGCGCCGACCTGCTGCTCATGTTCGCCAACGCCATCGAATTCAACCAGGACGACGAGCGCGTGGACTCAGTAGCCAACATGGCGCGGCAATTCCAGAGCGTGGCGTTGGCCCAATGGGACCAGATCTTCTCCGAGGCAGCCACTGCCGACTGGGCGCTCAAATCTCAACACCAGGCTCAACAGCGCTTCATCCAACGTGCCAAAGAAGCACGAGTCATTAATAGATGGAAGAAAGACTCGTTTGTGGCCAGACTAAACCGTGACAAAGTGGACGAACGCTCTCGTCTCGCCTCCAGCGGCGAATAATGAACATATCTGCTCTAGGAAGGTCGATATTGTATTTTATTTTAGTGTAGACTGCCTGTCCGTTTTTTTTTTTCTTGTTGCAGGGTTTTCTTGCGGTTCATTTTTGAGAAGCAGCCGCGACTTGTCGTGATGCAGCGATCCAAGAGTCCAAGCAAGGCGAGACGGCCGAGTCATACACGGCCAGGGAATACCGTGTATGACTTGACGCTGGACGCGACGTTCGAGTTTGATGGCGGTTCAGGCTTTGGAGCCACGTTACCGTCGAATAAACCCATGCAGGCGGTGGAAGGAGCGCGAGCGGCAATGAAGTCGCCTATGGCTGGGAGCAGAGATGCCGGACACAAGTTTACGTTCACGACAGCGGAAGAATACACGTCACCCAAGAAGATCCCGGTGTTTCCCGGTACTCTACACAGTCCAGAGAAGAAGAGCAAACCACATCGAGCCAAACGCACAACACAGTCGCCGAAACGCACTCAAGTCACGTCTCCAGCGTCCAAACCCGCAGCTTCTACATGGGAAGGCAATGGCCGAGCCACCCGAGAGCCATCTCCTCGACGCTTTCTCCGTGCAACGCTCGCCAAGTCTTTCGGTGACGATGAAGAGGACAAAGCTGCCGCTAACCAGCGAGACCGAAGTCCGTCCATGTTTATTGGCCACCATGACCCAGCGACCGGAGCGTCCAGTGTAATGGTGGCCGACGCCGCTGCAGAAGCTGCTGCAGCGTCGGCGACTGCGTTCCTCAAGACTGGCGAAGACGCGATCGCGTTCTTTGCACGCAATGGCTCGGACAGTGAGATCAAGTTCGTGCATCTGAATCGAGCCGGGACTGGCCTGGCATTCCGGCCGTACGACCTTGTGGTGGTCGCTCAGGATGACGTGACTCCGAACGAACACTTCACCATGTCGTCCAGTGGACTTGTGCACGTCTGCGCTGGCAGTCCGTCCGAGTTTATCGCTCTGGCTGAATGGATGCGCCAATCGACGATGTTTAACGTGCTGACGTCGCTGCGGTTCTTCAAGCATTATCTAGTGAACAAGGCGTTCTCACTATGGGTCGCCAATGTGCGGTACAAGCTCTATTGTCGTCAGAGGAAGCGTTTGAGTGCGAAATTGTTCTTGGCGAAGGAAAGCTTCTGCGTGCCTCTGCTTCAAGTCAAGAAAGTGATGAGTACGGAGCTCATGGGCGTCGTTCTGCTGGATCTACGAGCTCAGAAGACGTACGAGAGCTCGGCGTTTGTCGAGTACCAGGGAACGAAACGAGCCGAGGGTTCCAAGCAGTTTGAACTGTGTATTGAGAAGCTGCAGTCAATTATCCAGCGCGTGTGCTCGGACGTGAAAAACCTGACCAAGACATCCACTTCGCAAGACGACTTCATGTCCGATATGGCGTTGAGTGCCATGGGAACAAGCCAGGAAAAGACCAAGTCCATTGTAGCAGTCAAAGCCGAGCAGCAGCAGAGACGCAGACTGTTTCGTCGAGCCGCCGAGGAGGCTGGAATGATTGCAGATTTCATACGACTGATCGACTGCATCGCTGTTGAAAGTCTCGTGATTCTAGCTATCCAGAGTTGCGCAAATTTTCTACATGAACTGAACAAAGTGCCACGCAAGACTGGGCTCTTCGAGACGACCATCTTCTTCGGAGAACAGTCGACTATTTTCTCTCCTACCAGCGAGCAGATCCAGCACATTGTGATAGCCATGACAGACGACATTGTGAGCACAGTTAACTCAGTCTCTCGTGTGTTGTATCTCCGACCATTTGCACCTTATGTCGGCAACGCAGTGGCTGATGCGCCACACGTAGGCTCAACGATCACGAGCAGTGTGGCGTTCGGGCAGATTCGCAAGGAATTGGTAGCCAAAATTGCAAGTGACTACGCGGAAGCTACGGAATATGTCAAGATCTTTGACAATGTGAGGCCGATCTACGAGTACGACAAGGTGTGGGATCTGGAAGAGTATTCACAACGTGCACACACGGTCACTACGCTCAAGGCAGATATGTTACAGATCAGTACGTGGGAAAAGGAGCTGGAGAAGATGCGAGCTGGCCAGACTATTGGTATCTTACACGTGGAAAGCCGCAAGCTGAAGCAGACTTTGATCCCGATGACTACAGCCAAGCTGGACGCTATGAAAGGGTTAGTGAAGGACTTGGCGCGTGCTCGATGTAAGACTCAGTTGGGCGAGTACAAGCAGCGCATTCAGTCATTACTACAGCGACCACAGCATTTGAAAGAGTTCGCTGGACATGTGGAGCGTGTACAGAATCTTAAGTCCAAGCAGAAGGCACTGGCGAAAAACACAAACGTGGTGGACGAGCTGTACCGCCTTCTGGGTACTTATGGAGTGCGTATTTCGTCGGAAGATATGGTGCAGTTAGATGATCTACGTAGTGTCCAGGAGAGCTATAAAGAGGAGACGGAAGCTGTCGATGCGTTCGTTGCAAGTCGAGTTGGGGAGATGACGCAGCAGCTGGACGCCAACATTCAGCGGCTTGATGAACAAGTGCTTCAGCTACACAATCAACTGCAAGGGGGCGTTTTCATTGACGCTAGCCACTTCGAAGACCCCTCTGCTGTAAAGACTGAGTTAGACAGTGTGAAGCAGCGTCTTACTCAACTGGATGAGCTCTCGAAGCAGTACACAGAGTACCAGTCGTTGTTCAACCTCACTCCGTTCAAGTATCTCAATCTACAGGCAACTCAAGAGTACTTTGGGACTGTGGAGTCGCTTTGGACGGCTGTGGACAAGTGGAACGAACTGTATCAAGCAGCTATGACAAGTCCGTTTGTTGAGGTGAATGCAGAGGAGCTCTCGAAAGATGTCGCGGTGGCCTTCAAGGACGCGTACGCTTTACACAAGAAGCTTAGCAACGACGTGACCGCTGTATTGAAAGACCGTACAGCAGAGTTCAAGCTCAAAATGCCTACCGTGCTCGAGTTAGGCAATCCGGCTATGAAAGATCGTCACTGGGAGAAGATCTTCAAGGCATTACGACAACCTTGGTATCCTGGCATCCTGTTCACACTGGAGAACCTGGTATCTTACGATGTATTGGACATGAAAGACCTGGTGGGTGAGATGTCGGCAGCAGCCTCGGGTGAGGCTCAGATTGAGGCATCGCTGCAGAAGATCAAGCATGGTTGGGACCAGATGGAGTTCACGTGCGTGAGCCACCGTGACCAGAATGACGTCTTCATCCTTGGAAGCCTGGAGGATATTCTGATGCTGCTTGAAGATAACCAGGTGGGTCTTCAGACGATGATGGGGTCGCGGTTCATCATGGGCGTGAAAGATGAAGTGGAGCGATGGAGCAAGCGCTTGTCGTTGCTATCAGATACGCTGGACGAGTGGATATCATGTCAGCGCAGCTGGATGTACTTGGAAACCATCTTCTGCGCTGAGGATATCCAGAAGCAGCTCCCTGTGGAGGCACAGAAGTTCGCTCTGGTCGACAAGAACTGGAGGACGACTATGCTTCGAACTAAGCACAGCCCAAGTGTCATTAGGTCGGTGGAGGGAGGTCCTGAGCTCTTAGACCAGTTCCGTATGTCCAACAGATTACTGGAAGAGATCCAGAAATCTCTCGAAGATTACCTTGAGACCAAACGCATGGCCTTCCCGCGGTTCTACTTCCTCTCAAACGACGAATTACTGGAGATCCTCTCGCAGACGCGTGATCCGCGTGCAGTGCAACCACATTTGGGCAAGTGTTTCGACGCCATGAAGAGTGTACGCTTCGATGACTCCCCTGGATCTGGCAGCAATGTAGTGAGCGCAATGGTAAGCGGTGAAGGCGAGTTGGTTGTATTCCCGAAGCAAGTGATAGCAAAAGGTCCAGTGGAAACGTGGCTTACAGAGGTGGAGAAGGCGATGCGTGCAAGTTTGTATGAAGACGGAGTGAAGGCGTTGACGAACTACCCGATAGAAGACGCTATCGACCGCAAAGACTGGCTCTTCGGGTACTCAGCACAGGTGATAATTCTTGTTGACCAAGTCTTCTGGACGAGAAATGTGACGGAGGCTATTGCACAAGTGGAAAGCGGTAACGATCCTCAGGCGGTCGGTGGCTTTCTACAGTTCAGCTTGAAGCAGATCGACGGGATGGTTCAACTCGTACGTGGATCATTGACGAAACTACAGCGTATTCTTATGGGCGCTATCATCACAATCGATGTGCACGCAAGAGATGTGGTGCGTTCATTAGCAGACAGCAACGTGTCATCCCTGAGCGACTTTGAATGGACTCGACAGCTGAGATACTATTGGGAAGACGATGTCAAGAACTTCGTGGCTCGACAGACCAACACTCGATTTATCTATGGCTACGAGTATCTTGGCAACTCACCACGACTTGTGATCACTCCTCTGACGGATATTTGCTACATGACGCTCACTGGTGCGTTGCACCTACGCCTCGGTGGTGCTCCTGCTGGTCCAGCAGGTACAGGGAAGACAGAAACCACCAAAGATCTGGCAAAGGCGCTGGCAGTGCAGTGTGTCGTTTTCAATTGTTCGGATGGTTTGGATTATAAAATTATGGGAAGATTCTTCTCTGGTCTCGCACAGGCTGGCGCATGGGCGTGCTTTGACGAGTTTAACCGTATTGACATCGAGGTGTTATCTGTGATTGCTCAGCAAGTTCTCTGTATTCAACAAGCTATTGTTGCTGACGTGGACGAGTTCGAATTCGAGGGCAATCTCATCAGACTTAATACTGGTTTTGGCGTCTTTATTACGATGAATCCTGGCTACGCTGGTCGTACAGAACTACCTGATAACTTGAAGGCGCTCTTCCGTCCTGTTGCGATGATGGTGCCGGATTATCGACTCATTGCTGAGATTGTGCTCTTCTCCGAGGGTTTTGCAAATGCCTTGCCACTCTCGCACAAGATGACGCAGCTTTACTCTTTATCTAGTGAACAATTGTCCAAACAAGACCATTACGACTTTGGAATGCGTGCAGTTAAGTCCGTGCTGGTTGCTGCTGGTCAGTTGAAGCGCAAGGAGCCAGAGATGCACGAGGATTTGCTTCTCATTCGAGCGATGCGAGACAGTAACGTGCCCAAGTTTTTGGAGCAGGATCTCCCGTTATTCCGAGGTATTATTGCAGATCTCTTTCCCGGTGTTGTGGTTCCATTTGTAGACTATGGATTGCTCCAGAAAGCCATCGAGCAACAGTTAGACTTACTACACTTGCAACAAGTGCCGTCATTTATCACGAAGGCCATCCAAGTGCACGAAACGCAGCTCGTACGTCACGGAATGATGCTGGTTGGTGAAGCTGGAAGTGGAAAAAGTACCAATTGCTACGTGCTATCGAGAGCGCTAACGCAACTCTATCAGGATGGAGTTGTTGATCGTGATGGGTTTTATAAAGAAGTCCAGCGGTTAATTCTCAACCCCAAGTCTATATCGGCAGGACAGCTATACGGTGAGTTCAATCTGCTCACTAATGAATGGACGGACGGTCTTGTACCGAAGTTAGTCCGACAGTGCGTACAGGAAGCTGCTGAGTCGGACAACCGTAACTGGGTGATCTTCGACGGTCCCGTTGACGCTGTTTGGATTGAGAACATGAATACTGTGCTGGACGACAACAAGACGCTGTGTTTGTCTAATAGTGAGCGTATCAAGCTACCACATACCTTGCATATGATGTTTGAAGTGCAGGATCTCCGTGTAGCTTCGCCCGCTACTGTGAGTCGTTGCGGTATGGTGTACATGGAGCAAGTTCACGTGGGTATGACCTCACTAGCGCGAACTTGGAAAGTCACAACACTGGAGCCGATCATGCCGACGTATCCCGAGTTGTGTGATATGTTGCTGCTCCTAATTGAGACTTATGTCCCCGTTGCAATCGCATTTGTGCGTGAACACTGTCGCGAGAAAGTTCCCAGCAACAACCACAATTTAATGCAGAGCTGTTTGAATCTATTGGCCTCTTGTTTGGCCAGCGGTGCACTCCAGAATACCGGCGCGAATAATTTAGCCGGTGTGATACGCATGTACTTCGTATTCGCTGTTACATGGTCTGTTGGAGCGAATATCGACGATGCATCGCGTCCCAAGTTCAATGACTTTTGTATGAGCCAGTTCCATTCATTGATCGACAGTAACCAGGACGGCGATCCGGTGTCTAATGTCTATGAAGTGGTAGTCGACGATACGACAGGTCAATGGGTCTCGTGGATCGACAAGACGCCAACGTTTACCTTCGTTCCTGGAGCTTCGTACTTCACGATGGTTGTGCCCACACAAGACACGACACGGTTCCGATATCTTCTTGAAAAACTCATGCTCGCAGACCATCACGTGCTCTACAGTGGAGAGACTGGCGTTGGAAAGTCGGTCATTGTTCAGTCATTCTTGGACGATATGGCCAAGACGGATAGTTGCATTGCGTACACAATAAGTTATTCAGCACAGACGAAGCTTCGCAATTTGAACGAAATGTTCGAGTTAAGGCTGGACAAGAAGCGTAAGAATCTGCTGGGACCGCCCGTGGGAAAGCGCATGTTGTTCTTTCTAGATGATCTAAACATGCCGGCACTCGAGATTTACGGCGCGCAACCTCCAAACGAGTTGCTGCGGCAAGTTATTGATCAAGGAGGATACTATGATACAGCGAAAATGTTCTTCAAAAACGTAAAAGACGTGGTCTTCGCTGCTGCTTGTGCTCCTCCTGGAGGTGGACGCAGTGAGGTGACACCGCGTTTAATACGCCATTTCCACATGGTTTGGATTCCTAATCTATCGGGTGAGGTTATGCAGCGTATCTTCTCGTCCATTTTGGGAGGCTTTCTTGGTGCTGAGTTACCAGCAATGGCTCACATGGCTGCACCTATCGTAAGCGCTTCCGTGCAGCTCTACCAACGCGTGGAACTGGAGATGTTACCTACGCCGTCCAAGTCCCATTATACGTTTAATCTTCGTGATCTTTCCAAGGTTTTCCAGGGTGTATTGATGGTGAAGAAGGAGAATGTACCAACGGAAGATGGACTGCTAACGCTTTGGTTGCATGAAGAAGCGCGGGTATTCCGTGATCGTCTAGTTGATGCAGAAGATCGCGCTTGGTTTAACTTGGCCTGCTCCCAACTGATCGAGGAGAAACTCAATGTATCATGGCCACCTTCACGCTTCGAGAACATTTTATATGGCGACTACTTAACACGTGAGAACCGCAGCTATCGACCTGTTGAAGATCTTGGACAACTGAACTCGCTGCTCTCGGAATATTTGGAAGAATACAACATCACATTCCCAAGCCAGATGCACTTGGTGTTCTTTAACGACGCGATGCACCACATTTCTCGGATCTGTCGTGTGCTACGCCAACCGCGTGGTAATGCTCTACTGGTCGGTGTTGGTGGCTCAGGACGGCAAAGTCTTACACGTTTGGCATCGTTCATGGCGGACTATAAATGCTTCTCGATTGAGATTACGCGAGGATACGGAGCTAATGAGTTCCATGAAGATCTCAAAAAGATCCTGATGACTGCAGGTGCTCAGAATCAACCTGTCGTCTTCCTGTTCTCTGACGCTCAGATCGTTAATGAATCATTTCTTGAAGACATTAACAATATTCTCAACACTGGTGAAGTACCGAATCTGTACGCGAGTGACGAAGTGGAGAAAATCGTGGGACTTGTTCGTCCATTGGCGCAACAAGTTGGTAAAGTTACTCGAGAGGACATCTTGCAGTATTACGTGACGCTTGTACGTGACAACTTGCACGTGGTATTGGCCTTTTCTCCTATCGGTGCAGGCTTCCGCAACCGATGTCGTATGTTCCCGTCGCTAGTTAACTGCTGCACCATTGACTGGTTCAATGCGTGGCCTGAAGATGCTCTTAACTCGGTAGCGAACCGCTTCTTTGCCACGAACGCTGAGGAGCTCGGAATCGAGGCCCATGTAGACACATTGTGTCGTATGGCAGTGACAATACACCGCAGTGTTGAGGAAGCCACACTTCGGTTTTACACCCAGCTAAAGCGACGTAACTACACCACGCCGACGAGTTACTTGGAGCTCATTCGACTCTATGTGGATATGTTGCGTACCCATCGCCAGCTTGTTCGTGCGAAGGAAGCGCGATACCGTGGTGGTCTACAAAAGCTGACAGAAACTGAAGAGGTTGTGGGCAATTTGAAGAGCTCACTTACAGAGCTACAGCCAGTGTTAGTGCAAGCTCAAAAGGACACGTCATTGCTGCTTGAACAAGTGGCGAGAGATCAAGCTGAAGCGGACAAGCAACAACAGTTAATTCAGGCTGATGTTGAGGCTGCTAACAAGATCGCGGACGAAGTGAAGGTGATCAAAGATGACTGTCAGAAGGATTTGGATGAAGCCATGCCTGCGTATTATGCGTCGATCAAGGCATTATCACAATTGAAGAAAGATGATATCACGGTGCTCAAGACATTTACGAACCCACCAAGACTAGTGGGTGTGACGATGAATGCTGTGTGTCTGCTGTTCGGTGCAAAACAGGAATGGAATGAGGCCAAGAAGTTACTGAACGATATGAAGTTCCTGGATAAGCTGAAGGAGTTCGATAAGGACAATATTCCCCCCAAGACCATCCGACAGCTGCAGAAATTCATCTCGGATGAAGAGTTTACGCCCGAGACGCTTAGTAGCATTTCCACCGCTGCTACGTCGCTTTGTATGTGGGTACGAGCGATGTACACGTACGATACAGTGGCCAAAAACATCGCTCCGAAGAAGGAGAACCTCAAGATCGCTGAACAGAGGCTAGAAGAGGAACAAAAGCAGCTCGATATCAAGCAAAGCGGGCTGAACGCAGTACTCAAGAAAGTCGCGGATTTGAAACGTACCCTTGAAGAAGCGCAGCAGAAGAAGATCGACTTGGAGATGCAGTCGCAGAAGACCCAGGCACAGCTCGTACGTGCTGAGCGGTTGATTGATTCACTTGGTGAGGAACAAGGTCGCTGGAAAGAATGTGCTGAGAATTTAGCAAAGGATATGATCAACCTGGTGGGCGATATGATCCTATCTGCTGGATGCATTGCGTACCTTGGACCGTTTACTTCTGAATACCGCCACGAGCTTCAGGCCAAGTGGGTCTCATTCTGTAAAGCTAGTAATTTACCAGTGGATGGTAATTTTTCCTTCCAGCGAGTACTAGCAGATCCTGTCGTGGTACGTGAGTGGAACATCATGGGGCTGCCAGCAGATACCTTTTCTATCGAGAACGGCCTGTTCACTACCATGGGACGGCGATGGCCGCTCATGATCGATCCACAGGGTCAAGCTAACAAATGGATCAAAAACATGTACAAAGCGTCAGGTTCGCTACAGATCATCAAACTGTCACAGAAGGATTTCTTGCGTACATTGGAGAACGCGATTCGATACGGCTCGCCCGTGATGCTTGAGAACGTGGAAGAAGATCTGGATCCGTCGCTCGAACCCGTGCTGCTTAAACAAGTTTTCAAGCGAGGTGGACAGAATCTTCTCCATCTAGGAGATAGTGATGTCCCGTACAGCGACAACTTCCGTTTCTACATTACCACAAAGCTGGCGAATCCGCACTACATGCCTGAGATCTGCATCAAGGTGACGATTATCAACTTCACGGTCACACTTACGGGACTCGAGGATCAGTTGTTGGTTGATGTCGTTCGAAGTGAGCGACCAGATCTTGAACAGAAGAAGAACGAGCTTACGGTGAACATCGCTGCGGACAAGAAACAGTTGAAAGAGATCGAGGATAAAATCTTGTACATGCTCGAGAATTCCAAGGGAAATATTCTAGACGATGAAGAGCTGATCGACACGCTGGCCCACAGTAAAGTGACGTCGTCGGCGATTAAAACTCGTATGGCAGAGGCTGAAACCACGTCCATGGAGATCGACCAGACACGCGAAGGGTATCGCTGCGTAGCTGTGCGTGGCTCCATCATTTACTTTGCCATCGCAAACCTGGCACTTGTGGATCCCATGTACCAATACTCGCTGCAATTCTACCAGAAGCTTTTCGTCATGCGGCTACAAAACTCGACCAAGTCGGAAGTGCTGGAGGAACGTCTGGAGATTCTCATGCAGGATATCACCATGTCCATGTTCGTGAATGTTTGTCGCGGGTTGTTCGAGAAAGACAAGATTATCTACGCGTTTATGATCGCCTCGAGCATCCTGTTGCATCGCGGTGCGATCTCTTCCAGCGAATGGAACTTCTATCTGGTCGGTGATAAGAGAAGCTCGGCCATCCAAGCCGCACAAGCTGAATCCTGTGAACTTACACGCCCTGCGTGGCTGTCTGATCGGGTGTGGAAAACTATCGTCGGGATGAAGGACATCTCGTCCGCGTTCACGGATCTGGCGTCGTCGGTTGGACAACACGCAGCAGACTGGAAATGCGCAATGGTGTTGGCCGACTTACCGCATGCGGAAATTCTACCGGCGCCCTGGGAATCAACACTCACCAACTTCCAGAAGTTGCTGGTGCTACGTGTCTTCAGAGAAGAGATGCTTGTATTCGGTACTCGCGAGTTCGTTGGACGTGAGCTGGGCAAGTTTTTCACGGAGTCTCCGCCATTCGACTTGGGTGGTTGCTATCGAGACTCAAAGCCAGAGACGCCATTGATCTTTGTGCTGTCTCCTGGCGCCGATATCAACGATTACCTCTTGGAACTCGCTAAGCAAGAAGGAAAGGACGGCTCCGGCCTGAAGATTATCTCGCTAGGTCAGGGCCAAGGACCAATTGCTGAAGCGCTCATGAAGCAAGCCAAGCAAACAGGCGACTGGGTGTGTCTACAGAACTGTCATTTGGCTGTTTCGTGGCTTGGTCGACTTGAGCAGATCCTGGAGCAATCAGCGACGGAAGAGATGCATGACGAGTTCCGGCTGTGGCTCACGAGTATGCCGAGTCCACGTTTCCCCGTGCCAATCCTGCAGAACGGGATCAAGATCACGAATGAGCCTCCAAAAGGAATCAAGGCGAATCTTGGACGTACGTTCCTCGATATGAAGGAGGTCGACTACGAAGGCTGCACGAAGCCGCGCGAGTTCAAAAAGTTGTTGTTCGCTCTGGCGTTCTACAACGCTGTGTGTCTTGAGCGCCGGAAGTTTGGCGCCGTTGGGTGGAATATTCCGTACGAGTGGATGAACAGTGACTTGAAGACAGGTATGCAGCAGGTGCGACTGTATCTCGAGGAACAGGAAGAGGTACCGTATCTGACACTGAACGTCATGGTGGCCGACATTTCGTACGGCGGGCGAATCACGGATCGCTGGGACAAGCGCACTAACTCCAGTATCATGCGGAAGCTCTTCTGTTCCGGCGTCATGGATGATTCGTATCGTTTCACGACTTCCGGGTTATACTATGCTCCGCCCGAAGGTTCACTGGCTAGCGTTCGTGAGTACGTGAGCTCGTTACCAACTGCCGACGCGCCGGACATCTTCGGTCTTCACGCCAATGCCGACATTACGTTCCAGCAAAAAGAAACTGGCCAACTGCTGGGCACAATCCTAAAGATGCTTGGTGGAGGTGGTGATAGTGGCGGCGGTGGTGCTGCACAGAGCAACGATAGTATCGTGATGGAGATGGTGGTGGCAATTCAGGAACGAATGCCCGAGCCATTTATGGAGAGCAATGCGCATCCATCGACGTTCGCAGAGGCTGCAGGCGGCAGTCGGAATTCGCTGGGTGTTTTCCTCTCGCAGGAGATGATCCGCTTCAACGTGCTGACTCAGGTGATGAAAACGACGCTGGAGATGCTCAAGCGTGCGATTAAGGGGCTCGTAGTCATGTCAGGTCCTCTTGAGAAGATGTACAATGGTTTTTTGATACAGCAAATTCCGAGTGAATGGGAGAACGCTGGCTACCCGTGCTTGAAGCCCTTAGCCTCTTGGATTGAAGACTTCTTCATGCGAATCAATCTCACAAACGACTGGCTGATAAAGGGTCCACCGCTTGCGTTCTGGCTGTCGGGTTTCTTCTTCCCTCAAGGCTTCATGACAGCTGTGAAGCAGTCGTTCTCGAGAGATAAGCAAATTGCTATCGATGCACTGGTTGTATCATGCGAGATTATGGCTCACGACAAAGAGCAGTATAAAGCTCCACCGCCATTTGGTGTGTACATCTTCGGGCTCTTCATGGAGGGCGCACGATATGACCGCAAGACCCGCATGATGGCCGAGTCCATCCCCAACGAGCTGTTCGACCGCATGCCTGTCATCTGGCTCAAGCCCATGCGACGAGAAGAGTACAAACCCACTGACGTGTACGAGTGTCCACTCTACAAAACGTCCATCCGCGCCGGCACATTATCCACCACAGGTCACTCCACCAACTTCGTCGTCGCACTCGACGTCCCGACAGACAAAAGCCCCGACCACTGGATTCGTCGCGGTTGTGCGATGCTGTGCATGCTAGACACATAGTAGAGAAGCCACATCATTAAATCTCACGTACCAATAGATAAAGACAGCATTCCATTCTCTCGCTCTAACGGCTTCTCTCCATTTGTCGCCTCTGCTTCCAGATCGTAATCTCTTGGTTCGCCTGCACACGCTCCTCCGCCGATAATGCATAATAACTCTTGCTAGTCTCGCGTTCCCACTAAACAGAACAAACATATCAGCACCCTCTAAAAAGTAATACCCCCACCTTCTCTTTACCTGCTTCACCTCCCGCACAGAATGTTGTGGAGGCTCGTACGTATGTGTGGTCTTAAACTTCTTGTTGTGTTTCTTCAGTAGCTCATGCAAGTCCTTCATCTCCTTCTCAGGTGGCGCCCTCTTCCAGCCCGAATTCAGGCTGTTCCCCAAGTCCCTGAGCGGCTTCCTGCTCTCCGAAGACGGAGCAGAGACCGTCTTGACCTTGACCTTGGTCTTTTGCAATTTAAAGGGCTCTTGGGTTGCCCGCATCTCCTTCAAACTCTTGAACTTGCTCCTTTTCTTCTGCTGAAGTTGCTTATTCCGGGTTGCTACGATCTCGCGCCAGTCCATTGGCTGCTGGTTCTCCTTGTTCAGGCTCCACCTGTGATCGCGTCTGGAGTTGCTCTTGGACTTGCCAGCGTCCTTAAGTTGCTGCTCCTTGTCCTGCAACTTCCGCACGGCGTCTGCCAACTCCTTCGCTAATTCCGCACTGGGTTTGCTGTGTTCAGGGTGGATCTGGTCGAACCAGGGATCGTGCGCGCCCGGGGGAAACGGTGACAACGGCGCAATGAGGTCCACGAACGTCTGCGGCGCGTCGAACTCGAAAAGCGGGTCGATAGCCGCCGACATGGAGCCACGAGGTCGCGCCATGAGTGCGGAAAGGGATCCACAGTGCGCGCGCAAATTGCACGTTTGAAATCAGGAGTGTGTGTAAACAGTGAATTCGGACTTAGTGGATATCAATCCTCTAAAAGAACATGGCTACATCATGAAAGTATCTTCAGAATTGCATTTCTGCTTGCAAATTACTGCCGATGATAAGAAAATAAGTACGACCGAGCTGATAGTTTGTTAAGTGAACGGCAGTGATACTCTTATATTTGTGTAGCGAGTGTGTCTTCTTTCATCATGCTGTCTTCTAGCTGCGAGTCATCTTTACTGATCTCGAGCGATTTTTGCGAAACTGTAATGGCTCCATCCCAGGACGCCTCCTGGAGACCACCGTAGTCTCCCATTTTTGGACTTTGTTAGGAGGAAGACTGCAAGCCTGAGGAATATGAGTAGGGGGCGTAAACACAAGGACGACGATGATCAGGATGGGGACTGGGCGACGGAGTACTACAAAGAGCAACATCTGGAACACCAAGGCTGGTCGGTACTTTTCAAGCCATCGGTCATTGGTGCCACCTTGGCTGTGGCCGGGCGAATCGTTATATGGCCACTTGCGCTGTTTATAGTGTTCTTGTCCACTGGATACCTCTCGAAGGCGACAGTTCTCAAGCCTGTCGAACAAAGTATCTTCGCATTCAGCGAGAATGATCTGACGATGGCTGCTGGATGTACTGGTTGCTTAGGTCCCGTTAAGATCTGCATGGTTAAGTACAGTTTGCTTGGACAAGATGCGATCATGAGTGCGACGACGTTCAAGGACTTCGCGGGCCGCAAAGCGGACGAGTCGCTGTATGATTTCAGCGTGTTAACCGAAGAAAACCTCGCAGTCGGAGCACGGTTGGATGCCAATGGAGCAACTTGTCAAAGTGGCGTCAACGAATTCGGAGCCATGACAGTAGCTGTTGCGAGCACTGCTAGAGATATCCTAGACCTCGTCTTGACAATGAATATTAGTATCGCGCCGCAAATGATGCGCGAGATCGAAATCGCAGTGGAAGGCAAAGCTCCGTGCGAGTCGGGGTGGAATATCCACGGTGTTTCACGGCTGTACATGTATCCAACGACCAAGGGGAGCGCCAACTTCGCAAGTATTCCAGCGATGGACGTAAATTTATGGCCCGACTACACTGAATGCCGTCCTGATGTGCCTATGAGTGATAATCTGGTAGGCTCCAAGTTGGCGCTCGCGACCGATGGTGAAGATCTCTTAGCTGTCGTACCCGACATATTAAAGCTGTTCCCTTACAACTTTGACAGTAGTCTACCCCCGGTTTCGCGGGTCGTCGCTGCAGGACCTACCAAATATGGCTTTCCTACTGTGCTACAAGGTCTTATGAGAGCATACTATGGAGGCTGCCGTGTACGCGCTGTCAATACTTCCGGCGTCTACGTGGAAGACACGTGTGGGATTTCAAAGCGGTGGCTCTCGTATGGACTCATGGTACACGCTCCAGACGACATTCCGTTCTGCACTACCGGCGACATTTGCATTCGTAACTTGTACAACTCACTGTGGGAGTGGCGGCCGTACGTTTTCCCGGAAAGACCAGAACGTCTCGCCATGTTCCTCAATACTTTCCGAAGTCGGTACGCTGACAAGGTCGCCTTAAGCGTGCTACCAGGAGTTGTCGTGATGCAAATGCTCCTTATGGGTGTCATCAGTCTCTACCAAGTGATGTCGCACAAGCGATCAGTTCTTCTAACGCAGGTGTGGGCCTATCGCTGCCAGAATGGTCGCATGCAAGTGGTCTACCTGGCACAAGTCACGTACCACATCATTTACAACTCGGATCTGTACATGATCGGGCTTGGAACGGGCACATTAACTACTGAATCTGTGGTGAACTTGACATGCTCCATCTTCGCATTCTCCTACGCTTTCGTGAACTTGGCTAAGGCGCGTTCCGGGGATCAGCAATTGGATCGCCACTTCCGTCTCACGTGGGAAACGATGCAGATTGTCATCACGTCTGGTGTGGCTGTGTTTCTACTGTCTCTACAATCGTCACCGCTAGAGTTCCTCATCTCGATGAACAGTGAACTACTACGAAAGACCTCGACCAGAGGCGCCAAATACTGCGGTTTAAACGACGCATGTCTAGTCTTCAAGATGAACTTGATCATCTTCATTGTCATTTTTTCTATCGGTCTTGGTCTTGTGGCTGCGATAACGTCATTCGTCATTAAGCGTTCAAGTCCAAGGGTGAAAAGTGTAGTGCGCTCGGCTAGACTTTCTCGCATCGGACAAAGCAGCAGCAACGTATTGAGCAAGGCTGGTGGGTCCACACTAAAGCAAGGAGAGCATGACCAACTCACCTCGTTCGAGAGAAATTGTCTGGGCTCGAAGTTCAACAAACTCTTCCGCGATTGCGATGATATGGCATACGTCATGTACAAGGGCAAGCGTTGCACGACGGTCGAAGCGCTGCTACTCACGGGTTATCTATACTACGGCGACCATATCTACCAGGCGTCCTCTGTCATGATGTTGCTAGTAGCACGTCTATTACCTCGAAAGATGCTTCGTACCTTTAACGTGCTGCTTCTACGATGGTACTTGGACAAACGAACAGGAATTCTCAGTGAGGTCGTTTCGTGCACATGGTATGCTGCTAGCAAGGAGAACCACAAGCTGGCGGGTGCTACACCGGTGGCGTGATGCGGTTATTTCACTTGTGGCAACTCAAAATATTAATACACACGCCACCAAAATCCACCGCTCTAACGTATCATACAAGATCGTGTTCGACCCCACGAGACTCCCAAAGTTTGACAGAAGGAATAACAAAAGAGGTGGTCTTGCTCGCTCAAACTAATGTACACGAGAAGCCCCGGAATTCCTTAACGATCATTGACATTAAATCGGCATTACTGTTAAAGTACAAATTTTGGAAGAGTAATGCCGATTAGATGACTATCATTACCAAGACGAAAAGCAACTTGACTGAAATCGCAGCTCATATTGCGTTTGTTGACATTCTAATACAATCGGATTTTACCCAATAGTAGAATATGAGCGATTTGGCCGAGGGGGTATTTCAGGTGGTGGCCTGGCGTTTCTAACTTACACATGCCTCTATACTTCTCTGTTAGCCTTCAAATGACAAAGATCCTCTCCCTTTTATCTCCTGAGTTCTACACTAGAGCTCGCGTCGTCAAAAAGTGTTATCAAGGTCGGCCTCGCATCAGGAGCCTTGGTGTCCTCATGTCCTCGTCTTCGCCTCTGCCTCCTACCCATGTTGAAAATGCCGAGTTTGCACATCATAACGCGATACAAACTAATCAATGGAGCTCGAGGAAAGATAATATCCCCCATCCAAGAGTTCGGAAGCCGGAAGGGGGGGGGGACTACTAGGGGATACCAGGCCGGACTTCTAATCCGTGCCACCGTACACATAGCGGTCACACATACATCAATTGCAGGCATTTACCGTTCTAGACCTGAGTACGGGTGAACAAGAATATCGTCCTGGCTCAGAGCGGTTGATGTTTGCAAAACTTGAGCAATTGAAATATTGACATGAACTATATAGTCAATCACGGAGTCGACCTTCAAGTATAAGGAAGCCTGCTTAGTTAAATGGTGAAACTCTAATCATCCTTAATTTGACCAGCTCCAATCGACCATCACTTCACAATTCAGTCACCAGCCACCAGAGCGAAAAGCTGTGTCGGTAAATCTCGTCTATGCTATTCTACTTAAACGTATTGTTGGTTGCTATCGTTTTGTTAGCATGCGTCGACAGCGCCTCTGACAATGCGGCCTCGACAGCCACAAAGTGTTTTCCCGTTGCTAACAAAAGCTTTCTTCCCACAAGGAGGTTCTTGAGAGCCTACGCTACAGTACACAAGGACAGTGAAGAGAGAGTTAATGTTGGAAACTTCGCTCTCCAGGAAGGTGTGTCGAAGCTCGCCGAGTCCGCTCGCCTGAAGAAATTCTTGCTTAAGAAAAAGACTGGCGTCGAAGTTCTGAATAGCTTAAAAATTGGAGATGACATCGCGGCTGCCTTGGAAAGCTCGAGGCTGGGGACTTTGACTAAATACATTGCGAAGTTCAACAAGAAAAACCCGGACAAGACAATCTCATTGATTGAAACTCTCACAACGCGCTACGGAGGTAGTGCTGTGGAGAAAGCGCTAGCGTCTGTGGAAAGAAGTACGGATTCGTCACCGAAGGTGGTGGATCTTGTAAAGCAGCTTCGATCTGAGCAACTCACTTTCTGGCTACACAGCGATAACTCCGTCGATGATGTTTTCAAGCTACTCAATAGCGCATACGCCGGCCCTGAATTCTTTGCTAGTCCACTGTTTCGAATACTGGATGACTACATCGCCAAATTTAACAGCGAGAAGCAAGGTCAGGAGACTTTGATCAAGACGTTGACGAGGGGTTTTCGTGGCGAAAGCAACTTCGTATGGTTATTAGCAGGTGCGAAACAACAAACACACGACCTCCGCATAGTGAATAAGGCCCAGGAACTGGAGGAGGGGCTGATCAGGCAGTGGAGACACGAAAAAGTCGAACCTGTAGCAATCATGAAGGTACTAAAGCTGGACAACGGTGCGGAGAATGCACTTAGGAGTGAAAACCTGGAAATGTTCGACAAGTACATCACTCTGCTTAGCAAGAACAGCCAGCACAATGAAGTGACATTGCTTGGAATTCTCACGTCGAAGTACGGGGAAGCTAATGTGGCAAAGGCGATCGCACCTGCGCTAAGGCGTGAAAAAGCGAATACGGAACTTATCGCGGCAAGACTGCAGCAGCAACAGTTGAAAGGATGGCTGGAAAATGGCATGTCTCCGGACGATGTTTTCAAGCTACTGTGGTTGTATAATGGCAAAAGACTCGTTATTGCACAGCAATGGGACATGCTGGACACGCTGGACGAGTTCATCATGTTATACAACCGCTACAACCGTGCCAAACCATCAGACCAGACTTCTTTAGTACGCGTACTAGCGAATAGTTACGGCGAAAGTAAGTTGGCAAAGCTGCTTGTGACAAGATTGGAAGCTCCGCTATTTATGAGCAAAGCTGCAAAGCTGCAGAAGGCGCAGTTTAGGGAATGGATGGACGAAGGATTAGAGCCAGCTAGCATCCTCAGCAAGATATTCAAGGTGACTGAGGCCGATGCTTCTAACACGCAGAAATTAGTGGCAAGTCATTTCAAGCGCTTCTACGACACGAAAAATGCCGCACAGCCGACGTTTACGGATCCGAGACGTTCTTAGTATAATATATTTGATTGGATCCAGCAGAAGGAACTTGTGAATTAACGGTAGTAAGGTTGAATTTCCCAAGTATAATACACTCTGCATCTTGTGCGATCCATCAAATAAGCTAGGCTTGTTGCTCAATCTACACTTAAAACAGCTTTCGGATCGTAGCTACTATAATAACTATGTGCAGCTTTAGATCGGAAGGATTGATAAGCGTTTTGGACGGTTTTCCTCTGTAACTACGCTATGTGAGTCTGTGTGAATTTTTCAACCAAACACGCGGTGTGTCTTTTTATCTCGCGGTAAACGGTCACCAACTCTACATACTGTCAGGTATTAGCTTCTGGGAGAGTGGATTCGCACACTGCGTTTTCTCGCTCTATCTACTTCCTGACATTCTCTTGGAGCTTAAAGTGCTTATTCGAACCGTAAAGTTGTGTGAGACGTCCGGCGGCTTTCACTATCGTACTTCGAAGCACATATTTCGTATCTTGCCACGAACCTTTGTGCAACTTTGTTGGCTTTGGTCTTTAGTTTTGCTATAGAGCGTCTTAATAGTTACAGGTAAAATTATGCTCTCCTCACTTGAAACATCAAACGCTAAGCTACCAGCACTGCTTCCATCTCTTTGCCGCCGAACGTGACTGTGGTAGCGAGAAGGAAG